GAACACGGAAGACCTATTGGCATGCGAAGTGTTTACCGACGAATGAGAAGTTTTGGCTTGTTTTCATACCGGCCACACTGGGTCCTCCCTTTAACTCGAGAAACCGACGTAATCGCCTTGAGTGGTGCAGACAACGGTCACTCTGGGATCAGGAATGGAACAGTATTGTCTTTAGTGACGAGTCTCGATTTTGTTTAGGCATGCACGATGGTCGTGCCAGGGTTAGAAGGCGACGTGGTGAAAGGAGGAATCCACAGTTTTTTGTTGAAAGACATGTTCATCACACTGTTGGAGTTATGGTTTGGGGTGCTATAGCTTATGGTTCCAGGTCACCTTTAATTTTCATCAGAGGTAACATGAACGCGCAGCGTTATATCCACGAAGTTCTAGAACCCCATCTTTTACCCTATCTTGACACCCTGGCAGATCCAACTTTTCAACAAGATAATGCCCGACCACATGTTGCAAGAGTCACAATATACTTCTTTCAACATAATGATGTCACATTGTTACCATGGCCACCAAGATCTCCCGACTTATCCCCAATTGAGCACGTGTGGGATATGATGGGTAGGAGATTGCTCAATTTGCAACGTCCTCCTCAGACTCTAGAAGCACTTCGAGAGGAGTTGGTGGTTACCTGGAATGAGATACCACAGGAGGACAGTGACCACCTGATCAGAAGCATGCCTAGGCGCGTTGGAGAATGCGTAGCACATCAGGGTGCATCCACACATTATTAAAGGTGCAGTGCAATCATTTTGAAATTTTTATCATTTACTTATTATGCTTCATTAAGTACTTATACAAAATTTTACTAAAATAAAACCATTTAAACTGGGTGTTCGGATTTATATGTCACATAGTATATATACTTCGCAATTGGTGATTGCTCATTTTCATTCCAGTCTCGAAGCAAACATCCCCAGGATGAGCAACAGTTATACAAAATGGGGTATTTACCCTAGCGCAAAAAGGACCAGTGATAGTAGCACAGGTTTGATTTGGTCTGATCAGCATCTGGAAAATCTTCATTGCTTTTTTTGTCATCTGCGTTACCCTTCACAATCAACCTTTCAATTGTGTCAACACCTAAAAATTAAATTTAATCCAACATCGAGGTCGCAATCTTTATCTTTGATAAGAACTCTCTGTATACAGGGTGTTTCACAACTTATCCGACAAATTTTAACCGCATATGCACTGTGACGAAAGAAGTTGTTTTATATGTAATAAAAGTCCTACAGAAATTAATTTATAAGCCTGAGTTTCAATAATAATAATTGAAAATGACCGTTTTGCAGCTGATATTTTGGCCACCGATGAAGCTATTTTTACTCGTAATGGGATAAACAATCTTCATAACACTCACGTTTGGTCCTTTGAGAATCCTCACGCAGTGGTCCCGACACACTTCCAACATCGTTTTTCTTTGAACGTGTGGGCAGGTATTGTCGATGAACGTCTAATTGGACCGTTCATATTGCCAGATCGGATGGCTGGTCACCAGTATTTGGAATTTCTTCGGAATGATCTGCCGGTCCTTCTTGAAGATGTGTCCAATTGCATGGCCTCCACTGTCTCCCGATCTAAATCCTCTGGATGCTTGAAAAACGAGGTATACCGTACTCCAGTTCAGAACATTGAAGAATTGCGTGACCGATTCACAGCGGATCCTGATAATTTGAGCCTTCAGGCAGAGCACGAAGGAGGTGAATTTGAATTAGTACGCCGAAATTGGATTAGACGCGCCCAATCTTTCATTGATGTCAATGGAAACAATTTTGAACAGCTTTTATGAGTAAGTGAGCTGTTAAACTGTATTATTTTATTATCTCGATTTCTGTAGAACTTTTATTACATTTTTTTTTTTTTTGAGAAATCAACTTCTTTCGTAACTGCATATGTGGTTAAAATTTGTCGGATAAGTTGTGAAACACCCTGTATAGAACTCCAATGTTTTCAGGCAAACGGTAGCCACATATGTATAAATAATTGTTTACTGACATTTCAGTCACCACGATGACCTTTTCCAAAGTTACAGATCAAAGACAATATATTTTATACCTATCTGTCTTGCACTTGGTAGTTCACCTCAAACTATTATTTTTGATGGATTTTAAATGTCTTGTGATGATCTTTAGGTGCTCTAGGATAGCGCTTGTGCAATGTGATGTCTCAAATATCTCTCACCGGCAGGCTATTGGTGATTTGACTTTCTTCTATCGATATGGCAAAGGACGTTGCACCTACGAGTATAAGCTATCTCTGTCGAACTTTGTACATCCAGAACTGACCCTTGTTCCAGAGATGTCGATATCCTGGAACAATCTGCATTTTTAGATGTATAAGTTAATAATAATTCGTTTTATACATACTTCTTTAGCGATAATAATGTCAAGTTGTAATTGTGTCAAGTTCTCAAATAAAAGCGTGTTACAGAGCTCGATTATCGTATAAAGGTTAACAAGTATAAAAAAGCTGATTTCCATTGTAGGTATAATGATTGTTTACTTTTTAGTTATTTGTTTTTACTTTATTTTCGATTAGTTCTTTCATTTTCTACTTTCTAGTGTTTGTGGATGTTAAATACATAGTTTATTAGTAATTTCTATCTACTCGTATCTATTTTATTAATAGGACTTTACTCACCCATTACTTTATTTTTCTGAGATTTCGATCACCTTAGATCAAAATGAGAAGTTAACTTTGTAGAAAAATTGAATAAATGCATGTTATGAATTATTTCTGTATACGATCAGGTATACAGGGTGTTTCAGAACTATGGGATCAAACTTGTAGGGGATATTCAGTGTAACAGTATAAAACATTTGAGTATAGGGACCCATATCCGGAAAAGTGTCACTACGGCCCTAAGATGCGTTAAAATTTAGAAAGACGATGAATTGTTCAAAATGTCTTCCTCCAGCCTGAATACACCAATTAACGTCGGACATGATTTCGGCGGACTTGACTAAAAATTTGATACTCGTTTTGAATGATTTCGAATGCTGCTGTAATTCGTCCAATTAAGTCTTGCTCTGTTTCTACTGGAGTTTCGTAAACCAAAGAATTTACATGTCCCCACAGGAACGGTGTATTCAGGTTGGAGGAAGACATTTTGAACAATTCTTGTGATGATATCATGGACAAAAGGCAAAAATTGGTTGCATTAAATTCTATTTAGGCAATTCATCGTCTTTATAAATTTTAACGCGTCTTAGGGCACTACACCGTTGTGACACTTTTCCGGATATGGGGTTCTATACTCAAATGTTTTCTACTGTTACACTGAATAACCCCTAGAAGTTTGATCCCATAGTTCTGAAACACCCTGTATACAGGAGGCATATACCATATAGTTCTAGAAATATCTAGTCTTACAATGCTGAAATTATCATCATACCGTGGGACCAGAGTTCTTGCCAAGAAGAATCAAGCGAGTCCCAACAGGATGAGTTTGCGTCCTTTTTTATATATTTCTCATGGCTACCTTCCGGCCCCATCATCAGATCAACTCCATGTCAAACTAATATCACATTGTCGAACTGGACGTCAGCTCATCAAGCCTTTTCATTTAATACCCATATCATAGGGATAACTGTGGAAATGATCGCCATTTTGTGAGGGCCGCCATATTACATCTAGAATGACATACTCTATTGTATTTCGCTCATCAGGTCCTTCCACTTGGAAGCGGTATCATAAAGTCGGCCATATTGGACAAGAAATGGCGGCGTTCAAATAACCATGCATTTTCACGAGAGCCAAATATAAAATGCTAAAACCAAATTAAAGCTGGTAAATAGAGCCCTACTTATCAGCTTTGACTGGATCTGATTAATCTAGCTGGTAATCTCGGAAGGAAACTCAAACAACCACAAACTTTTAACGAAGCAAAAATTATCCGAATTTTTCCAGGAAGTATTGGTGGGAAGCAGCAATCGTTGATTACCGGCTTCTGGCAGACAAGACACGGTACGTATGCAGATATTAATTGTGGGTATATGCGAGCGATAAAAATCTGTAGCATCAGGTGCTCAGCCTTTCTCATGAGCGTCTTTCCTTTATGAGAAGCGCACACCAGACACAAAAGAATATGGGAACTAAATTAATCTCTCTCTTCCTATGAATACAGTTCTTGCACGAAAACAGACTGGATATTATACATACGTTCATTCATTTCCTACATTTTTATGTCGGCACCGGTTAATTACTTTGAAGCCATTTATACGATATGTGGCAAATAGCTGACTCATCTACTGGAATGTATGAATGCGGATTTTTACAGTAAATTAATACCAGAACATACTTTTATTATTTATTTCATTTGTGCAAATCCAGCTATGTCTCTCAGGCTTAAGTTATGTTATAAATTTTTATTCATATCAATCATCAAATGAATGAGAATAAAAAGTAAGGACACGAATATCTCAACGAAGATTCAGCCAGTGCTTCACAAGTATCCGTTGTTAATCAACATGGACTTGAATTACATTAGAGCTTCGTTAGAAGAAGGGATAACATATTTTCCGCTTTTTAAAGATTTTTAAGTTATCTTTAAAGATACAGCAGCGAAACAAAAACTGGCACCTCGAAAAAGGGATGCTCTAAGTCGTAGGTTCTCAAGCTTGTTTTGTCTAGCGTTCCCCGATGCATTACCGCCCCCTCCCTCACATTTCCACGAGACTCCCTACCTCCCCATCCGTACGTCCCCAGCGCCCTCTTTTTTAGGTAATACTTCTTTCCTTTTTCTAATACCATGCTTTGTTCTTTAATTAAGAGAGTTACCAGTCTCAGTTCAAGACGTTTTTCACAAAAGCTTAATTTTTGAAAGATCAAATAAAAGAACTATGTTTATCAAGCACTGTATTTGCATATGCCCAGGAGGCCATATTAAATACATTGCTTTGGTGATACTTTTATTCATTTATAAATAATATGAACACTAAATACGGCTCTTCATTTATTTTAAATTGTTGTAGATGCCCCGATAAAGTATGTCTACAAAGAGAGATAGAAAAAGAAAGCCGTGGAGTGTCGATCCGATGACAAGGGCTGCTGAAGCGGTACGCAAGTCTATGGGTTTTACGAAGGCAGTTAAAACCTTTGGTGTGCCAAGAACTACCCTGAGAAGGCTCGTCCATAATACTGAGTTGACGCCAGAACTAGTTGTACAGAAGCCGTTAGGCAGAAGGCCTGTGTTGCCACCTTACCTAGAAGAGAAATTAGTAGAATATATATATATATATATATATAAATATATATATACAGGGTGTCCGCAAAGTTGGGGTTTTCCTTTACACGACGTGTAGATCTTGAAAACATAAGCAATTGTTCTTAGTACCATATACACCAATGTCTTAAGGGAACCGAGATAAAGGACTCTTCAACATCAAAAATACTTGAATACCGCCCTGTAGCCGCGACATCACGGAGTGGTACAATGTCACTGGCTCAACGACAGAACTGGATCGGGGGTCGGGGTCAGTGTGTCAGGTCAGTATGCAACCTTCAACCGACGGTTACGGTCACGCGAGGTAATCGCGTAGACGAGAATCCCTCAACAAGCACTAGAGACGTGGCTAGAGAAGTGCAAGTATCAAAAACTAAAGTGTGGCAAACGTTGCGTGAAGAGGGGCTGTATTCGTTTCACGTCCAACGTGTACAAGCCCTTCAACCTGACGATTTTCCAGCAACCGTGCGGTTTTGTGAGTGGTTGTTGCATCAACATGACAATAATCCGGACTTTTTGAAGTGCATATTGGTGACAGACGAATCTACGTTCACGCGTAATGGGGTGAATAACTTTCGCAACACTCATGTTTGGTCAATAGAAAATCCGCACGCTGTCCGTCGGGCACATTTTCAACAAACATTTTCGATGAATGTTTGGGCTGGCATGGTGCGTCTGCTCGGTAGCGCATTAGCTGATTTTATTTTCTTTTAGAGCGGTATGATTTCGGGCAGAGACGTACTTAGCCCTTCTCGTCAACTAGAGAGTGAGTACTTTTTCCTTTATTTTTTTTACTTGGTCGCCCTCGTTTCACTACACATTACCTTTGTTATTTCAAAGGTAGTTGTTTCTGAAAAGGAAAACCCCAACTTTGCGGACACCATCTATATACGTATATATATATATATATATATATATTACACATGGAGCAAATATTTTATGGATTAACTCGAATGGATGTCAGAAAAATAGCACACCAGTTGACAGTTCAAAACAATATTCCCAATCCTTCTAAAAATGATATAGCAGGTCGAGCATGGTTGGATTTTCTTACAAAATACAGACAGCGATGCGACTTGTATGTTTTGTGACCGGCGTTTCTCTGATGACCGACAGCGCCAAAGCTGTGGGCACACAATGAGTGCTCTGGAGCCGAACGGGAATATTACATATGCTATTTTTGTATGTAAAACCTTGAGAGCTTATTTCGTGTTAACTATATGTTTGCACGGGGCCATTTTACCTTCCTACTTCGAATTAATAAATGTTTGCAAAAATATATTTTTATGGAAACATTTTCGATTATTATTTTTTCCCGTATATTACCACTTGTTCTTGACACACAAATATTATCGAAAAAAATAGGGGGCCACAATACCACCTTCTCCTCTAATGTTCTTCCTTTTTTGTTCTAAATTCACTAAAACCCTGGCTGAAAGCAATCTTGATAAAAAAAATCAATAATTTTAAATTGAACTATACCAGTTTTGATTGAGAAATTTAATCAATTTGTAAGTTCCTACTACTAATTCTTCAATTGCACAGATGAATCTGTATGTTTCATTGGCAAATAAAATTACAGATGTAGAATTGGAGATTTACTAACTTTCCGTCCTCCAATGATACTGTCATTTTTTATTTGTACTTTGAATAGTTCTGACGACGGCGTGTATATTCTTTCATGATGGTCACTCACAGTGTAAACAAACTCTTTGGAAAACAGGTGTTTGTTTTCCTCCGGTATCGTCTGAAAAAATTTTCGTCAGAATTCGAATCCCAAAGCCTTTGGACAACAAAATTGGGAGTAATACTGAAAGAAATGCACTTGTAATGAAAATTGGCAATCGCCATAGATCATGGAAGACGTTCATTAGGTGTGATTAGACGAAAGCACCCAACCACATAACATAATATCTTAAATCAGTGATTATAGGCAGCAGATTGTCATAATTGCGTAATTCTACACGTCCGATCGTCATCAGTACTTGTAGCGAACTTCAATAGAAAACCTCATTTACTTACATTCTATCTAATGGCTAATCTCTCTAACATAATACACCTATCTGCCTCTTAGTACGGTTAAATTAGATTATCTGCAAAAAAATCAACAGATATTTTATAATAAATGGGGAGGTAGTGCGTGCCATGATCGACGAGTACAAGTTTCACCAGTGAAGAGAATGTGATCCCGACTTGCCAGTACTGTTGCATTTTTGCAAAGGTTCAATGTTAAGTAAAATTTATTGAGACAATCAACAGAAGGTAAACAAGTATTTTTCTAGCCCTTCTATTTTCTTCATTCGATACGTGCACCGCATTTAAAAAAAATATAGCATCAAGTAGGTTGTCACAATGCCGTCATCCATTCACAAAAGATTATGTTCAGCACAAGTTAAATCCTCTGAGAAAAAAATAAGTTGCGAACATATATATAGTAGAGAAATTAAACGGAACAAGCAACATCAGTAATGCCATGACACCTGTGAAGACTGCACGCTAGCCGGTAAATGCAGAAAACAGGAATAGGGTCGCGCATCGAAAAAATGTCATCATTCCGAGTTTTAACGACAAAGGTACGGAGAAACCTACGATATGTAAAATATATATGTCTAATAGATGTTTAGAATTATCGAGGATGGGAGCATATAAATAAACTAACATCAAAAAATTGAGATATACCCTTCCTCACCACCCCACCAATTTTTTTTGTGGAAACGATCAGGTGCCTCTGTAACGTAAAAAAACTAAGTTTGAGAGGTTCCTATTTTTTCATTATTTTTCATGTAGCTCCACTACCACTGGACTTATTTTCAAAAATGTCAATGCTTTTTCATCTTTGGCACAATAAAAACCTTGTGTAAAAATTTCATCAAAATCCAAGCGGTACCGAGTTAGACAGGCAGACCAACACCCAGACAGATAGATGGACAGATAGACTGACGGAAATAAGCAACATAGTTTTTCGTAATGTACATGTCATATAACGTCAAAAAAACATGACTCATTTTTGGCAAATAAAATGCGCTAATCTCTAAACTTGACTTTTCATTGTTAATAACAATTTTTATTCAATATGAAATGAACACTGGTAATATACGCTTCTGCGCTGCAGCTTGCTGAATGCACCTAGCGGCCACGACCCAGCGAGTCTTTCCGTGGCAACACCCCACATGATTCACCTTTGGTGTCGGAAAAACAAAAAAAAATTACAAATCAACTCCAAAATATAACTCGGCCGTATACAATTGAGAGAAAACGACATGTTTTTCTGCTAAATAAACCACATATGCAAGAATAACTCTTTTTCGGCCTCCTGAGTAACCTTTATCAAAGTACAAGTTAAAAATCACATTGACACTATATTATATATTTATGTCTTCCAGGTGACAGTTCATCTGTTTTTGTTGCTACTATAGAGTGTGTTGTAACAATAGTGTCAACGGTCCTACATGGTACCTGCAAAAACAAATCAGCTGCCACCTGAAAGACAGATAAATATAAAATTTATTGTCGATGTGATTTTTAATTCGTACTTTGAAAAAGGTCATCGAGGTCAGTAAAGAATCATTACTATATATTGTCGCTGACAACTTTTCGGGAGAGCAAAAAGAACAATGCGTCTTACTATTCCCTATCGAATGACATGCATGTCTTATCATTTTCCATGTGTCTGGCCACTAAATAAAACTAGCTAAGCTTGAAGTACTGTTTACTGACGTTTCGGCCACCACAATGGCCTTTTTCAAGTACATGCAGATCTGAATTTTTTGAGTTACGCGGTGTTAGAACTTAAGCAATTATATGTGATTTTATGTAGTGGCCAGAAAATTATCAGCATTAAAACCGCAGAATAAGTTCCATATATTGAAAAAATGTGACCTTCCACTGCGACGTCCTAATAGATCTTAACTCTAGAGCTAATTTACAACTCTCTGCCAGAGCTGCTGTCCAACCTTTTAGACCAAAATTACTAGCGCATTTATAAAAAAATTCGGTATTTCAACTTTAGTACTTCAAGTTAAAAACAATTTTGTAGCTTCACTCCGACTTTAATAGTAGGCTAATAGTTGTGGTGTAAATTAATGGTGTGAAGCATGTTGAGTATAGCATTTAGATCTATTGGGACGCTTTATTAAAGGAATGCTACATCCCCCTTTTCTACCAATTGGACTTTGACTTCGGAATTATTTTTGTCATTTTCGTGTTGCCACCCCTACATCAGACTAACTAGCCAAACATGTTACAGAAAAAACTCTTTGGGCGGATTTGATAACGGAATTCTTTATTATAAATAAGGAGGCTCCTCACCTAGATACAAAACTTCAGTTTACTCAGTTCATTGCACTTTTTTACCAATATAGTGTATAATAATTTAAATGATGTTAGATTTCTTTCCTCCCCCTCACCCCAAGCGCATTACTAATAGACCAACCTCAGCTGGGTGAGATTTGTCCTCAACTGCAACTAGAATGTAGTTAAAAATAATCAGGAATGATTTATGTTTATGTTCTGATCAAGGCTATCTCAGCTGTTCTTTTTGGTCCCTGAAGCGAGACGGTCACTATTTTAACAGTCTCATCTCTATTTGGACTGTCTTATTTCACTTGCAAAACAGACGCATCTAGAGACAATGATCCAAATGCCAAACCCACCCATAGATTTGTTTGCACTTTAAAAATCGATATTTTTGGTATAACAAATTAACCGCTAGAACAAATTGAACATATATAAGATCTCATTTTGAAAGGCTTTTTATCCCCTACAACTCTTCTATCCACGAATAATTTTACTGTACATTTTTCTGTTTCTATATGTGAAGAGCCTTTTCATTTACTTTACACACTTGCCCTGCTGTCAGGAAAGATTTAGGAAAGCTTGCTTGGTCATTGCCAATGTTGGAGATTTAGAACTGTAGGGGTATTACGTAACTTGAAAAGTGACATTATGTCGTTCACTTCATGCTCA